CGTTCCGATCTGTTGGATGATTCAAGACTCGTGCATTACGTCAACGTTTAAGAAACGAACAGTGAGAAAAAGAAATCCAGCCTTTGTTGAGAAACTTTACTCTCGGGAATCCCGGGCTTGGAACGAGGCAACATCCAGCTGCTTTTAATTTCCAACTGAAAAACAAGGGGAAAAAAGGAGACGGCGGATCCTTGCGCGTCTCTTGGCGACTATTCGTGAAAATTGAACGTCACTCTTCCACAAACGAGGCATTTTAGATTTTTTTTTTTTTATGGGGCATTAAATAAACGAAAAATTGCTGCAAGTTTTAGCGATGATATACTGTCGTTCGAGAGGGAAAAAAAGGGAAAAAAGGAAGAAAGGAAGGAAGAAAGGAAGGAAGGAAGGAAGGAAGGAAGGAAGGAAGGAAGAAAGGAGAAGAAATTTATCCATTATAATAATGAAAAGTTATCTCCACGTTGAAGTGATTAATTTAATTTTAAATTTTCCTTTTTTTTTTTTTTTTTTTTGGATTAATTTTTGTGATTTATGCATCACGTGAAATGAATGACTATAATGTATTATTGTATTATTTTGTTTTTAATATACAACGAATTTTATATTTGTGAAGATATGATGATTTTTATTTTTACATTAAAAAAAAAAAAAGAATCTGTTTTATATAAAAACGATTCGATCAACCGAAAATATAATTATTTTCGAAATATTTTGAATAAATCAGAATTTATACCACAAAATAAAAAATTGCGGATAACCAATCCCGCGTATCGTATTTCCATAACGTATTGTATTTCCAACTTGCTCTCGAATGCTTTAATTTTTATTTATGCGATTTCCTGTAACAAAAAGCAACAATTTTATATCATCACGTTGGAAAGAAGAAAAATCACGATTGTATCGATGAATTTTTTCGCCAAGAGAAAGAAAGTAGCATCAATCCGTCAATTAATATATATTTCAACCATAATATTATTTCACCTTATATTAAAAATATTTTTGTACTCCTATAAAAATTGTTCCATGCATTGAAAAATTTAATGGAAAGATATTAATGATATATTATTTCTACGATAAATTATTGTAAATGTTAACTATAAAAAAAAGAAAAAAAATATTCTTCCAATTGAGAAAGTTGAGAAAAAAAATTAAGAAAAAGAAGAAGAAGAAGAAGAAGAAGAAGAAGAAGAAGAAGAAGAAGTAAGGAAATGAAGATGAAGGCACTTAAAAGGCGAAAGAAATGATTGAAGCGAAAGTCGGTTGGGGTAAAACGCCGAAAAAAAAAAAAGAAAGAAAGAAAGAGGAACGCTCTTAAGTTATTATTAGGGTGTATTTCCCGGAGGGATGTTTCGTTTCAGCTCGACTAATGACTGCATCAGAGTAGAAACAAATTTGAACGGACCCGACTTCGTCACATCGATCCTCTCTTTTCACTCTTTTTACTCCGTCTCTTTTTAATTTTTTCGTCATTTTTTCGCGTATCCTCTCTTCCAGAAATGTTTCTTCCGCGATCCAAAATTATTTAATCATCGTATCTGAAAAAAAAAATAATATAAGTTAGTTAAAATTTATTTTAAATTATTTAATTCTTGTTTTAATTCAATCGGTTGTATAATATTTTCAAATCTCTCCAATATTTCTCCATAATTTCTTCCTTTTATATTCATCCATTCGTCACTTTCCAGTTTCTTTTCCATTGATTTCCACGATCTTTGCACGAGTCTTCTACTCGTAAGTTTTGATAATTTCTCGTTTTATTAATATTCGCAATTTCACATTCACTTTGGACGAGTATCGCAAAAGTTTTTTAATGGGAGTAATTGGTTATCACGCGATCGAAGTAACTGAAACGTTTCACCGATTTTATGCATGAAATTAAGAGGTGAAATGAATCAGCTGTTGAATAATTTGTACGTGCCCGTGCATTGTATCGGCAAATAACGGATACCAAACCCGTGTAATTTATTCGACTCAGTTTTCCTTTTTTTTTTTTTCCTTTCTTTTTTTTTTCTTTTTTTTTTCTTTTTTTTTGATTTTGAACCGAGAAAATATTCGTTCGTTCGCCGAGAGGATATCCTTGCAAATTGATATCGGGAATTTCACGTTGACATTTAATAGTTTTTCTTTTTCTTTTTTTTTTTTTTTTAACTCTCTTTTAAGAACAAGGATCAATTTACAACGGGAAAATTATTTTTCTTCTTTTTCTTTTTTTTCTTCGTCGAATTTAGATCTCGGAAAAAATATATTTACAAGAGAAACTAAATAAATAATTTATGATTGAAATTGTATGAAAATATTATCTTGAATAACGGTTGAACAACCCGAATTCAGTTTCACGTTAATGAATAAACGAGAAGAAACTCTTAATCTCGAAATCAAAATGGAAAATGTTTCTAGCAATAACAAAGTTTCAATTTATCCGATTTTTTTTTTTTTTTTTTTTTTTTTTGGTCGATAAAATTCCAAATCCAAATCGCGATATAAAGATATAGAATCTCAAATTAAAATATGTCCTTCTCGCTCCTGTTAATGTTTTCTGTTATCATCTCTCCCTCTCTCACACGCTTTTCCGCCACACCTCCTTATCCCGTATATTAAACGGTGTTCACGGTTCGCCAGTCAAATTGAATTCCAAGCTATTGGCAGATTCTCAATAAGCTCCAACAATGGAGTCTGTTACACGAGCCTTCCTACTTTCCTACCAACCTCCCCCTCTCTCCACCGCTCACTCTCTCCGGCCGGCCGTCATCCCACTTTCGGTGGTGCCCCCCCCCCCCTCCCCCGCCCCCCCTCTCCGGCCGGCCGTCATCCCACTTTCGGTGGTGCCACCCCTCTCCTCCCTTCTCCCCCTCGCAGGTCGAACCGCCACCCCTTTTCTTCTTCGGTTTCCTTCAATTTCCGCGGCCGGGAAAGCCATGCCGGTGCAAGCTCACGGAAATTGGAAATAAATCGCGGCGATATCGATGCAAAACGCGCGACACCGATCGTCCACCACCACCACCAAGAAACCACCTTTGTTCCGTGCACGAGAGGGACTTGGAGGGCTTGTTTCGGGGTAATACGTTTCCTTTTAAGTGATTTTTCCGACGATCGTGTTTTTTTTTTTTTTTTTTGGAAAGAAAAATTTTTCAACAACTTCGAAAATATTAGATTTTATTAGATTAGGGAGGAGATGATTATTTCGTTGCTTATTTGCAAAGGATTCTATTCGAAAAATTTATATCTAAGCTTGTTGACTCGAGAAACAAACTCCAATTCTTTCCAACCTCCAGTTCTTTTCTCTAATCCCTCGCGATAATAATAAACTCCAAGTTTAAAGAAATTTCTCATGCTTTGTATAATATACCAATACACCGATTCTCCATCTTGCGATATCGTAGAAAGAAAAGGGGGGAAGAAGAGGGAGGGAGGAAAGAAGGGGAACGGCTCAGACGCGGGAATAATTAAGCGATTACCCATGATCGGGAGGGGAGGAGGATTTTTCGTCATAGCGAAGATTTAATTGGTCGAGATGTAGTGAGGAAGATAGGCGGTTGCATTGTCTGCACGATGTTAAGAGGGTTAACCCCTCCGCGCGGAGGGGTGGAGATGGTAGGCGTGCAAGGGTGGCGGTGTAATGAAGAGCGACAGTGGCGCCCGGAGCCATCGCTAATTTGCCGCTAAGTGGCCGGCTTTGTTTCCGTACGTTGATCCCATCGTTCGCAATATCCTGGATCTGAGGCGATGTTCCGCGCCGCTTAAGAGATAGACATCCAAATAACCCGGGGCCCGCCTCCCGGCCATTCCTCTCGCTGCTCTAATTTCGACCGTTTCCACCTGAGGAAAAAGAGAGATTGAAAATTGAGATGGATCGTGGCCATTTTCAACGAAACAATTTTTTTTTGAATTTTTAAAGAAAGGGGAAGGGATTGGCGTTTCCAGAGATTTATTTGATTTTTTAATCGTGAGAATTTGTCGCAAGGATTGGATATTAAATTTTGAGGAAAATTTGGAAATTTGTCGAGATATTATTGGTAAGAAAATTTGGATCGGAATTTTCATTTTTCGTTAAATTTTATTCGCGTTTATGCAAGTTTTTATATTTAGTTAGGAAGGGTTATTTTATTAAGTTCGTTGCAAGATATGAATGTTTTTTTTTAGAAACATTTTATAACACTTTTCTCAATCTCGATTAATTCGTATTTACAATAATTACTAAATATCCGTGCATCTCTTGCGATTTCCTCGTTATTACATCGTAATATATAGGTATTGTTATCATATTATTTCACGCAATTTGAACATGAGGTAAAATTACGTTCAATGTAGTGTAAAATAACACGATCCTGGATAAAGAACATTCATATTGTCTGCAATCTTTGTAACCATGTAATTTTTCACATTACTTTTACAAAAATTTATCTTCGAGTAATTTTATCCGACACTACACGCGAACTAGATAATTAGTTATAATTTAATGAATAAATAAAGAAAAATAAAAAAATATTTTAACAAATTTAATAGATGCTTCGTGATATTAATACGTAATATTATATATAAGAAAAAATTAATAACGCGATGTAACATAAAAATTCTTATCTACCAATCTTATCACTTGATGATTTTCCTTATCATTTTAAATTAATTTAATTTATATAAAACATAATTTACGAAAACACTTTTTCGATCTCCTAAAAATCTATTTCCGGTACGAAAACGTAGACAACTACGATAAATCATCCAAACATTTCTACACGATAACTGTCATCCCCACTCGATCTGTCGAACTAGTCGATCTAAGAATTAAAATACGTTTTCCAAAAAACATATTTTCCAAAAATCTCAAAATCCATTACCAATGAATAATGAAACCAGAATAGAAATAACGAAAAAAAAAAACAGACAAACAAAAGAATCTTTCACACTCTTGACACTTGGCACAATGGCAACAATGGCGCGACGCAATTAAACGGTTTAATTATAAAACCGTATCAACGATTATCACAGAAGGGAGATGAATGGCATTGAGACGTTACTGCTTACAGCTAAATAATATCGTCATTCGCCGAGGCGCCTCCTCAGTGTTCCGCGGTAACGAATATAGCGAGCATCGTGTCGACTAAAAATCGTAGAGAATCGAATCGTACAGAAGAACAATCACTTTTTAATCAATCGATAAAATGGAGTTTTTATCCTTGTCCCTGCTCCTCGTCGCGATCTCGATTGTCGCCTATTATTACTGCTTCGTGAGGAAAAGTTTCAATCTGTTCCAAGAGCACGGCATACTTCACATCCCGCCGTCCCCTCTCGTGGGTAATTTGGGCCCGTTGATCAGAGGAAAGGAGAACATACACGACACTATTCAGAGGATGTACAACATCCATCCTGACGTCAAGTACGTGGGTATATTCGAGTTTCTCACTCCCGTGATAATAATACGGGATCTGGACCTGATCAAGAGCATCACGATGAAGAATTTCGAGCAATTCCCCGATCATCGCCCCATGTTTTGCAAGAGCGTGGACCCGATGCTCGGCGAGATGTTGTTCATCATGGACGGGGAACAATGGAAGGAGCACAGGAACATGCTCTCCCCCACCTTCACCTCGAGCAAGATCAAAGGTATGTTCTTGCAGATGTCCGAGTGCGCCAAGAGATTCGCCCATCACCTGTCCAAACTGCCCGAGAAGGAGAGGGAAATGGAGATGAAGGCGTTGCTCACCAGATACACCAACGACGTGATCGCGAGTTGCATCTACGGGGTGAACGTGGACTCGATAAAGGAGCCCAGGAACGTGTTCTACATGTACGGCAGAGTGGGCGCCACTTTGATAGGGTTGAAGAAGAATTTCAAGATACTCGTGCACAGGAACATGCCTTGGCTGGCCAACTTGCTCAGGCTCAACATATTGGAGAGGCACATAGCGAAATTTTTCACCGATCTCGTGGTGGAGACGGTCGAGGAGAGGGAACGGAACGGGACGACGAACTCGGATCTGATCCAACTGATGATGGATACGAGGAACAAGAGGGAATCGGGTAAGAAGAGTCTCACCGTTCAGAACATGGCCAATCACGCGTTCAGCTTCTTCTTCGGCGGCTTCGACACGGTCGCTTCCCAGACGTGCGTGCTTCTCCACATGCTGGTCGAGAACCCCGAGGTCCAGGAGAGATTGCAGCAAGAGATCGACGAGACGTTGGAGAGGAACGACGGCCAATTGTCGTACGAGGTTATACAAGAGATGAGATACCTGGACGCTGTGATAAACGAAATTCTCAGGCTCCATCCGATCGCCGTTTTCATAGACAGAATGTGCGTCAAGAGTTTCGAGCTGCCCCCCGCGTTGCCCGGCGACGTGCCTTTCACCGTCAAGCCGGGGATGAACGTGTGGATCCCCGTCAAAGCGATCCATCGAGATCCCAAGTACTACGACGATCCCGAGAAATTCAAGCCGGAGAGATTTTTGGACAATGGGAAGGGCATTATGAGCTCGGGGGCGTATTTCCCGTTCGGGATCGGGCCCAGGATATGCATAGGGAACAGATTCGCGTTGATAGAGATGAAGGTTTTGGTCTGCCATATTCTTGCAGTTTGCGATATAAAGGCTGGATCGAGGACGGGGATCCCGTTGGAATTCGAGAAAGGCGTGTTCAACGCGACCGCGAAAACTGGTTTTTGGCTGAAGATCGAGCCCAGGAAATATTCTTACCACTCCGCTCAAATTAACGGGTTGGTTAACAACGATGTTATTAACGGTGCGTGTAAAACAGGGATTTGAAACAGGATGATATTCAATTGTTTGAATCGGGAGTTTTGAATTTTTTAAATGTGTGGAAATTATATTGTATTATATTGTAACGGTGATTCATTGTGAGATACGTTTGATCATGCTTTTTTTCCTTTTATTGTTTACTTGATATTTGTACGGATAAAATAAAATAAAAAAAAACTCTTGTGTAATTCATATGGATTACTCGATTCATCTTTCCATTATTCATTAATATCATAATAGATCAAACAAACAAACAAAAAAAAAAAAAAATGTTATTATTTTTACATATTTAAATAGCTTGAATCGAAATTATACTTTTAAATCAGAAAAAACGATAAATACGATCATAGCTGATAATTAAGGAAAATTTTTTACGCGTTCAAAAGAAACCGAAAATGAATAAATGAATAAAATAGAATATAATTGTGAATTGTAAAGTGAAAATCAATTTTATCTTACATTTTTCTGAAGAATTTGTAAGAATCCTTTTAAAAATTATCATATTTCGCATTATCGCATATTTCTCATTCAATGTACAATGTACAATTCGAACGAATAAATTAATAAATGATCGTCCAATATATTTCACGCAAATATTGCTAATTTTTATCTTGCGAGTAAATATTTGCGATTGAGAAAAATCTGTCTGGAGAGTAAATTGTAAATTGTTACTATAAACAATAGTTATCGCAGCGATATGTTTGTACATTGATAAAAGTGTCAACAACACGATATACATTTCTCCAGATAATATATTACATGTACATATGTATATACGTTATTTGAACACGTGCAATTTGTTACCGCTATAATTCCACTGCTACTGTTTTATCTTACGATATACTACATGTATATTAAATTATTACGATTAATTTTGTTTAATTATATAATAATACATAAATAATATAAATAATAAAAGTCAATAAATAACAGAGTATATTTTCATTTTTGTTCAAATAAAAATATAACGATGTAAATAGAATTGATTTTTTATGCTTCAAATCGTTTCCATTTACATAATTTCTCGTTCCATCCCCATTTCATTCTCGTCTCTTTTCAATCACAGATCTTCAAAATTTCGAGATTCTTGTTACAAAAGAATCCTAAATAAAAAAAATTCATCACTGTACTTTCAAATATCTGTATTTTTAATTTTCTTTAATTAACTTACCTCGTATCGTGTAATTAAATTCAAAAAAAAAAAAACTTCACTAATAAAATGAAGATGGCAAGAACTTCCATTTACCATTCGAAAATTAATATGATAATAATAATTAAAGAAAAAGAAAAGAAAAATAAAAAATGAAATCGAAATCTAAACTAAAAAAAAAAAGGAAACAAGATTTGTTTTTCCTTTCAACCACCGAATCGCGCCTACTAACACAATACACCTCTCGAATCCACCCTTACGATCCTCCAGTTCATTAATTCTGACCAAATGCCTGATCTCTATGGCGTTCGATCGCCACTAGATCCTCCGGTCCTCGAGCTCTCGTCTCCACCGTGGCAAACCGAATTACGTTAGAGAGGGAGAGGGCAGTTTTATCGAGTCAACCTGCCAGATATTTTCTAAGGCATCCAAGGATCGTCTCGAATCGGAAAGGGTGACTTTGAACAACACCCTGAAAGAAGTTGCACGCGATAATCCGTTAAATCGTTTCTCGTCAAATAATAATTATTTATGAAAATAATAATAATAATTATTTATGAAAATAATAAAGTTGCGTTATTCCTCTTACTGATTTGTTTTCAATTGTTCAACTTCGGTTGTCGTTGATGGTAAGGAAATAATATTAAATGAATAATGTATGGTCCTAATTTTAACGTTGAATCGTTGAGATTTGTAATAAATAACACTGTGATGAGGTCAACAATATTTTTTTTATTAAATCATGTAAAATTTGCATAATTTCGATTTTTCAATAGTCATCCTCGTTAATTTAATTAACAAGATTTGTTTTTTTTGTAGAATTAATCAAAGATTTTTTAATATAAATTTATTATTATTTTTCCTCGTTTAATAATCATTCGAAGGTTATGAAATTATCTTCATGAATCTTCTCTTTGAATCTCCATGAATAGAATGATCGTTTCAAAATAAGATTAATAGTTTCAATCTAAGATTCACAACTATTCTAAATAGACATCATAACAATTTCAATTGACATCTATAATAGTTTTAAATTTAAAATTATTTTAGATTGTAGATCCTGCAATTGTATTAAATTGAAACTTGTTAGATAACTGAAACAATCGTAGTAAGTAAACGATTATATTGTAAATTAATTTCTCTCTCCCTCTCAAAAAAAAAAAAAATAATAATAATAATAAAATTCTTTTCGAAATATCCTGAATAAATACAATTTTTATATATCCTCACTAGATGTCTCACTACTCTTACATTCTCGAAAGTGCTCACACAAGACGTACGAACGTTCTGCTCTTCTAATTTTTCAAATTAATTAACGCTATAAAATTCTATAAAACAAAAAGAAGAGAAAACAATTAATCCATTTTTTAATTTACGTATTTACAAAAATTTCTTTCACTGTATATATATATATACACGTACCCAAAGTTACAACGTTCCAATTCAAAATTTTCATATAAATATAAATCATTCACAGCATTCATCGAGTGAATCTTGAATTTTCCTTAGCAAGAAGAATCAAAGTAGGTCATAGATACATACATTCCTCTATATATTATTCGGTAACGATCAACCAGCTCGAATCGCTTCAGCTTCTACATTACATTCGCTCATTAAAGCAACATTCACAAGGTCGTGTCGCGCCTTTGCCGATCACGTACTGGAATATATTATACGACTGTTACGTACATATAATGCGGCGACACCCTGTTACGTGCCGGACATGCACACAACGCTGATGCTCGTCCGGAACCTGGATGATAATTGAGATGGACGCATAACACGCGTCCATTATGCAACCGGGCAACTAGTCACGAACCAAAGATCCATTTTTGTTCTATTATTCGTTTTTTATTCCGCGCGATCGGACGAAAAGAGAATTTTTAAGAAGCGTGTAATTTCTTTTTTTCTTTCGACTGTTTACAGGATAGAAAGAACTTTTTCTGCCCATGGTGAAGAAATTTTGTATTCCGGCAAAGAGGAAGATTGTTCATTTTCGAGATCTGAAATTAAAAATTTTTCCAAGTTAGAATAATTGTAATCTTGGATTATAATAAAAATCAATTATGGAGTTCACTTACTTATAAAAAAAAATAAGCAGAAGATTGGTCATGAAGATTGAAAGGTTTGTTAATGTTAAAATTTCAAACAAGGATATCGTTGTTTTATTAATTTTTTTATTCATAATTAAAGAATAATAGATATAAATCCATACAATATACCATAAAATATATAAAGCAATCAAATTTGATTGTACATTAACGGTCAACGTGACACATTACAACAATGCTAGCAACATTGTAAGAAAATAGTATTATAAAATCTACGTGATCGTTCTTGAATCCCAAATTCGTGGAACGATTCGTGGAAAATTCGAACGAATTTAACATCATTTTACATCAATCGTCAACATGACGTACCATGGCAATACTAAAAATAAGCATTGTGAGAACAATAATAATTAATAGAACAATAATAATACAATTAAATAACCGAGATTTGAAAAAAAAATTAATCAAATTTAATTTTGCGCCAATCGTCAATACGATACTGTAACAATAAACATTGTATGGGAAATTAGCAATCTGATTTTAAAATTCGCAAGGAATCGGAAGAATTCGGGCAGAATCGGAAAGTTTCAAGGATAATATCCTTGGTTGTGTGAGATAATCTTGAACGATCTCGTCCGAATTCTTCCGAAGTGTGCCGAAAATTTCCAAATACCGATTCCGCTCGAACGTTTCCAATCATATCCAAAATCGAACAATAACAAACAACAAATAACAATAATAGTTAAACAATTAATTTACCTGTCTTTATCTATTTTTTTTTCCTATCTAAATTAACCAATTAATCAATTTTTTTGTTGATAAAAAAAACGACTTCCTCCGTTTGATTTCCATTCGTTCTGCGCAGTTTCTTCCTTTTATATAATCTATCGATGTAAGAGAATGAGGCAAAGAAATTGATCAGGTCTGGAGTGAAGCTATTTTAAAATTCTATGGTATGATGTCATTTCATAGAATTGACCGATGTATAGCAGTCCAAGTACAGTTGGTCGCAAAAATTTTCACGGAATTTATAAACATTTTATTTATTATTTTATTTCCAATATTTTCCAATACTCATCAAATTTTTTTCTCAAAATTAATTATTTATCGTTTATTGACTGAAAGTTATATCTCTGTATATCCAGGATGGACTCTCGCCAATCTCAAAATTTATTTATAATTCTAAGAATACGAGAAAAACCTTTAAAGTATCCCTTCCTCGATGGACGTCTCAAAATAATTATCAATGAATCCTTCCTCATTCTTGTACAACGTGCAAGATGATTCCTTAAAAAAAAAAAAAAAATTAAAAATTAAAAAAATACAAAATATACGATTACTCCTTCGAAAACTCCGAGAAGACTGAATTTGTAAAAAAAACCACTAACAATAGACCTTCTAAAAGATCTTAAGACTCTCGTATCGAAATATGAATCGATAATGTAAATACTCGAAATTGAAAGAAAGTGTTTTAACACAGAAACGAATTAAAAAAAAAAAGAAAAAAATACCGAATCTCAATTATCAGGATATCTATCAGGGATTTTATCGATAAGCATAGTCGTCCCTGGAACCGCAATTTTCTCAACCCCATCCTTCTTCGCGGTTCTCGGCTCGATCTTGAACCAGAATCCATTCTCGGCGGTCATCGCGAACCCTTTCTTGTTCAGTTTCATCGGTATGGTGGTCTTGGAGCAGGGAACGAGGTTGCATCTCGCGAACAGATGGAACAGCAGAACCTTCGTCTCCAACATGGCGAATCTATTCCCTATGCACATCCTGGGCCCCATCCCGAACGTGAGGAACAGGCCAGAATTGATCATCTGTTTCGTGTCGTTCAAGAACCTGTCCGGATCGAACTTGTCCGGTTCCGGGTAAAATTGGGGATCACGTTGAATCCCGTAGATGGGGAACCACACGTTGTCGCCCTCTTTGAGGAGGTGAGGTTTCTCGCCCGGCCTGTTCGGCGGCAATTCGAACGGTTTCGTGCAAATCCTGTCTGTGGCCACCACGACCGGATACATCCTAAGAGCCTCGTAAATG